GATAATAATTGAGGAAACTTTTAAATTACAAACTTAGCTACGATATCAGTTGTGTGAATCAACTGTTTATTACCCTTTATGTTCAAAATAATTATAAGACACGATGCATGCTGTAATATATGTATATAGAATATAAATTTATTTACAGTTTTATTCAAAATTGATATAATTAATAATAACATTGAAGGGGAATTAGATTTGTAAGTCGTTAGCATGTTAACATAGGAAGTAGTTGGCACGTGTCAAAGATCAAAGGAAATAATCGAACGTAACTCTAATAGAGTAGATAATACCTCTTTAATGTTTCATATATTTTGAAATTATTCGTATCGATTCTTAGATTAAAACATCGAACGTTTGAAATTTAGGAATAGTTGGTACTGCTCTACGTAGATCTTCGACGGTACACGCATAAGAGATACCTTTTCTGATATTCCTAGGTTCCCAGGTGAGCCAATTGATCGTCGAACTGATATCGTTGCATATGTAAATATCTTTTGTGATCGACTTGATAAAGGGATGATTCAAACCAACGAATGCAGTACCCTTCTTACTTTGTGGATCGTAGATTATTTTCCAAAAGAACTTGGGAACGGGAAGTGCTTTGGTTGTGCCATTGACGTAGAGATATATAGGTGTCTCTGTCTTATTAAAATTCGGCAAAGTCATTTGATCGTGTACACCAATATAAACATCGAGATCTAAAGAACGATTAGATGCGAAAGTTCTGACATTTTCTTCGAGTTTTTCCCAGTTGCCAGAATTGAAAGAAGACCATTGAGGTGCAGTATTTATAAACCAAAAAGTCGACGATTGCATTGCACCGTAAATGAAATAAGACTTTGCCGTCAAATGTCCACGGTTTAAAAATTCACTTGTCTTATTTAAATACGATTTAGCCAATTCGCTTGAATTTAATAATTTTGTGAATGTTTGAAGTTGAGTATTGAAGTTGTATTGCAAGTCCATATTTATTTTTCCATAGTAATCTCCTTTCGTCCATCTCGGTCTACAAAACAAGATTATCAATAATTATGGATGAAATTGCGAAAAGGGAAATGTGACAGACGGTTCAATCTAATTTTATAATCTTTTTCCTGAGTTCCTTCCTCCCTGCTTCGAGTAATATTCTCTTTTCGTCGTTTTTTTTTTTGACGTTTAATGCGAATAAAATATTCCGAAAGGGAAACATTTACAGACTTTTAACGTGTTCCTATCGTTTATCGTTCCCATTTCTATTCCGCCTACTACATATTCGTGTGTGTTGTACTTTATAACGTTAACCGGCATATAATTTTGTATGTGTGTGTGTGTGCTTTTTATTTGCAAATAAAATTGTTACTTGTCGCTTACCTAGGAAAACCTTTCTGATGTCCACCGATCCATTTCGTCATCCTAAATTTCGTATAGTACGTAATGTAGGTTTCTTCATCGTGACATAGTTCAATTAAAGGAAGAAAATTGGTAGTCAAATTGAAACCAATTTCAACGTGTGTACTTTTGTTATCGTAACACCATAAATTTGTACGCCTTGCTAGGCTCTCTGGTACAAATTTACACGTTATCGATGAAAAATTTTTATTTTCACCATTAACGTTAAACATTTTATTCCCTACGCAAGTAGCTTTAACTTCCTTGAGATTTCTATTTGGTCTAACAAAATTTTTGTCACCAGGACATTCCAAATAAATTGATTGACCTGTTTGCATTTTTAATAAACCCTTTTCATTGGGATAAAGTATTTTCGATACAGTACCATTTCGTGTTAGAATCAATGGTTGTGGTTCTTTAAGATCGCCATATTTATATTTCGTGGACAGGGAACAACCGTTGTCTGCATATTCTCGATAAATCGAATTTTCTAAACCAAAACAAATAAAGAAATAAATGTTATTTCACTTTGAAATGTATCAAATGATTATTATTAATTAACGTATTATCAAATATTTCATTCTCACCATTTTTAAATGGACTTCCAAGGACTAACAAAACAGCAACAAGATGTATCATGAATAACAACAGCATGATGCTGGATTAGATGTACTCTTGTGGAACGATGTTGTTAGTAGAATTATACCGCAAAAGCTGAACTTCTGCTTGATGATAGTGTTGCTTGTAGATTGATGAAGATGTTGATTGGCTACTTATACTTCTTTTCTTGATTATGCTACTTTGTCAGGAGCCAATGATGTTCTTCGTTATTATGTTGCTTGTTCCGAAATGATGGCAATGATACCAATGGAAATAATGCTAGTTTTTGAGAACTTATCTAGGGAAAATATCTGTCTTCGTAATCTCTGCCCTTAAGTTCATCGACCGATATCAGACAACTCCAGAACAAATGAACTTTATTCTTTGAATTAGGAAAATCTTTTTCTCTTTGTATCACATGTGTTTACATAGCAATCAGAGATCACTTGAAAAAATCCGACCGTTTATATTATTTTACTAACTTTGTAGTGGTTACAAACCTTTGATAGTGGTTTAGAATATTCTTCTGAATCTTTGAGTGAAGTTTTTACTGTAGTAAAAGTACTGCTTACTGTAAAACGGTACGCAACCATACTCTGATCGGTTGTCACGATTGTGAATCAGTCTCTCTAGTTTTATACTGTTCACTAATGTTTAACTATGATTATTATTATTATTATTATTATTTCCTATCAGTTTGTACAGTTGTGTGAGATATTAATCATAGATGACAGTAAATTATTTTTACGATGTATTCGTAAGGATCGTATACATTGATAAATTAAATGTTAATGAATTATAATGTGTGTGTAAAACTATTTTTATATTAATTAAAAGTAATTCCCATTTGTAACGGTACAATAGATGATTGTAAATATTGATTGGAAAAAATGTGTTTTCGTTAAAAAAATAACAGATGTCTTATCAATTCTCGATAGATTTTTTGTTTTTAATTTCTTATAGTGTGCAGATAAAATTTAATCACGTTAATCAGTCCGATACACACGTCTTTAAGTCAACGAATTACCTCATACCGCCATCTGTTAGAATCATATCAAACTAACATACATAATCATGACTCTTTGTTAATAAACAAAGAATTCGCAATAAAATAATAATTATAATAAAATAATACTCCTATCTTTCAAGTTGGATGAAACTGCACACATTGTGCAAAATTTGATTAAAATTGGTTCAGTAGTTTAGGAGTCTATTGCGGACAAACAACGTGACACGTAATTTATATATATTAAACTATCCTATGTTTCAAGTTGGATGAAACTGCACACATTGTGCAAAATTTGATTAAAATTGGTTCAGTAGTTTAGGAGTCCATTGCGGACAAACAACGTGACACGTAATTTATATATATTAAGAAGAAGATATATAAATATAATATTATTTTAATTAAATATTTTCATTATACTTATTATATTTTATTATTTATTTACCAGTTTTATGAGCTTCGATAATGGTTTAGAATATTCCTCTTAAACTTTGAGTGAAGTTTTGAATAATATAAAAATATTATTCTAAATAACAAATATAATTTATATACATATATATATATAAAAGTAAATGTGCAAAATATATAAGATATTGAAGAAAAGACATCAAGGACGAAATTCATTTAGTATTGTTCATTGAAGTAAAGGAGAAAGTAACATCGAGGTCGACACAAACGTAATAGAGCTGATCGCACTGAAGTGGCAAAACTTCGATCCACTTGAACACTCGGTATAAAGGTAGGAAGAAGTAGAAGAAGAAGAAGAAGAAGAAGAAGATTGACTTCCATGTAACTGAGTTATACCACTCGCTCAATGGCAATGTAAGAAAAAGATTTCGCGAAAGACGTGACTGAATACTAAACTCCATCCATTGTTCTCAACGATGTGCAGAGACACGTGGACGAAAACTTTCAACATTGAAAATGGATCGAAACTTTCCAAATTTATACGTTCAAGTGTATTTTCATTATTTACATAGGATGCAATCTGTGCTCTTGTAATAAATTCGACGAAACATTGAGGTACGCTACACGCATTTATCGAACCAATGGTAACAAGACGAAAAACAAAATGAATTATATTTTGAATCTTTTCTTCGTTTTATCTCGTTATAATTATTGCATTATGATAATTATAAACAAAAAGAACAATTAAGAAAGAATACAAAGAAACAAGGTTTGTTGTATGCACAACAACAAAAATCGTTGATGCTGATTTTGTTATTTATTTTGTTGTATTATAATTATCAAGTTTTTTTTTTAATTTTTCTTAATCGTTATCCGTAAGCATTTGTATGTTTGCCTTCGTCTGTCCGTAATATACGATGATTGTAGATGTATGTACGAGTCGATAAGAGAGAAACGACAAGAACATACGGGGTACAAAGGAAAAGGTTGAATAGGTTCGAGAGGAAAGTGGAGGGTACGTCGAGTGCTATTTCACTCGGTTAAACGGATCCCTGAAACCAACGAGCTCGTGTCAGCGATGTTATTTATTTCTAAATTCCTCTCTCTCTCTCTCTTTCTCTTCTTCTCATTCTCTCTTTGATTTCTTTTCTTTTTCTCGCAATTCCATTTACAGAAGTCAATTTCCTATCTTTTTTTTTTTCCTTTTTTCTTTTTTCCTATTCTTGGTCAGGTGCGCCTATTATGTCACTATGTACGTCTAATAATACGGAAACAACTGATTTCAACAGACTGAACGTTAATATCCGTCTCAATTTACTATGATGACGATGAGTGGTGTTGTTTTTCATCAATATTGTAAGGATTCATGTTCAATTATAACACATCTCTCAAAAAACTTTCTTCGTCAAATTTTTTACTATCTTTGTCGAAAATACACAGGCATCTTGCCAACTGTCCGTCTGTATTACTACTTTTCCGTGATCGTATTTTCTTTCTACAAATCAGGAAAGAGTAACACGTCTGTATTACTTTAATGTTTCTACAATCTTGATTTTTCCAACTTTAACCTATGATGTGCATTAGCAATGCATATTGAAACGTGTCTAAATGTATTTCGTGTCAATAAATCAAATATAACAAGTTATAACATATATATTTTATTGTAAATTTTTATTATTTTTTATTTTGTAAAATATATAATTCTCGTTGTATTATATTAATTAGATTTAGGTATATATAATAATATATATATATATAATAATAATATACAGTAATATATTACCTAATAATTATATATATATATATAATTTTGAATGATTTGATTCATCTGCTTGACGATAATTCAACATCCGGTTTAATCGGATTTTCCTTCAACCTTCTGACCCTAATTAAAATGACCTTTGCTATTATCGTTCTATTATTATTATTATTTTATCAAGATCAAGAAAATAAAAAGCCGAAGATAATAGCGCTTGTTGGCGTGTAAGGAATCAACGATAATCGTTCGCGGCATAGCACGGACTAGGAGGAGGAGGAGAAGGAGGAGGAGAAGAGGTGTCGATAATTTTCTACGAAAGGAGGGTAACTCTCTCCATCGTAAGAGAACTGACTGTCCTATTAAGTCTCCTGTTATGTTAAGGGCGTGCATCACAATAGAGTGAAAAATGGAAAGACAAAAAGGAGACAAAAATTTGAATACTGAAAATATGAAAAAGATTGATGAACTCTACTCCTAACTCTTTCGTAATCCTTAAAAACTGGGGTAGAAAAAGGGGGGTTGTAAACCAAAAAAAAAAGTAAGTTTACCACGGATTAGCCATATTATTTCGCTTACGTGCTCCTCGAATATTTATGAGACCCTCGAACGTGCCAATGTTTACGACAAGTTCGCGTGAGCAGATTATATCAAGGGTTTGACTCGTGTAAAAATGTATATGTGCGTGTGTATTATAAAAAAAAAAAAAAAAAAATCGTGTAATTTTTCATCGTACTTTACAATATTTCGATTTATTTCAATTTTTTTTTTTTTTTTTTAAAGATACATATAATATATATTTTTTTTTTAAATCTTTCAGATACATATAATATATATTTTTTTTTTAAATCTTTCTCTCTTTTTGTGTCTATCTTTTCATATCTATCCTCTTGACACGAATCTTCGAATGTCGGGTTAGCGATTTTTCCTATATGTGAATAGAATAATACTCTAGAACTATATATATATATATATACTTGTTGCTCGGACAGAAGTAGTGTAAGTCTACGATTCTTCACTGAAAGTAGTATAAATCGATGATATTCGAATATCTTAGCTTTGTCGTTTATCGACAGAAACGTTCTATGTAAAAACTATCGTGGATTTTTACTTACGTCGTATTATCAATTTTCTTCGTAGACGGTTGTTCGTCAATGATGCTTTTATCGAGTCTCGACAGTTGGATAAAGTATTGTACTAGAGATACTCGATCTATAACATTCAATCTGAGAAATATTCGTTGATTTATTTTATAAGAGATAAGAACAAGATACAAATTATATTATTCTAGGATTATATATTCTTACAGGGAAGACAGATTTATATTGAGTCATTATTCCAATGCTAATAATAATAATAATAATAATATTATTATTATCAAACAAAAACATGAGAATATCTTGAAAGAAAAATAATCATCCAGTTATACGTCAGTATTTGTTTACTTATAATAAATTATTTATAAATACTAAAGGTGCCCCACTACGCGTTGCTGTGGCTCACAATCAGTCCGATACAAACGAATTACTTTATACCGCCATCAGTTAGAATCTTATCGAACTAATAGAGATAATCATGACTCTTTGTTAATAAACAAATAATTGCGATTATAAATTAAGATATAAACTATCCTATCTTTCAAGTTGGATGAAACTGCACACAGTGTGCAAAATTTGATTAAAATCGGTTCGGTAGTTTAGGAGTCCATTACAGACAAACAACGTGACACGTAATTTATATATTTTAAGAAGATATACATATACATATAATGTTCCAGTTATACTTTAACACTATATTTACGGATGTTTTATTCATTATTTTTGAATGATTTACAAAAATTATTTTAATGAAAGATTGAGTAGAATTAATATCTAAATATATTTAATTAAATAACTAAAAGTTAACATATATTTTTTTTGTAAATAATATTTAAGTGTTATATACATCTAGGAAAAAAAATTGGAAATGAATCAAATTGGTTCAGTTCGTAAATTCTAGTGTTAATATTCGTTTCTTTATAATAAATTATTCATAAATGTATATATGTAAGTATATAAAAAATAATTCTCATTGAGATAGTGAAATTTTGTCAAAGTTGACGCGTTTAAGATCTACATCGTTGAGCACGATGATTGATAACGCCCCGAACCATTACGAGGTTCGGCACATTCGATGAATGCATTCGCGGTTAGCGTTTGTCGGATTGCATAGACCGTTATTGGCTTTAATACAGCTCCAATCTCTGATTCGAATTCAAGTCTGCTATCCGCGGATGTACCGGCTCGTTTATGGCTCAATAATGGCTAGCCATAGGTACGTATGTATGTACTATATGTACATACATACTTATGTGTATATGTTTGTACGTATATACATATACGTATTATAACCTGGCACGTGATTTCATTTAGTCCTAGCATGCTTAATTATTATCGCTTACGTCTTTTCTCTTCCATTGTCATAGAGGACCATTCAGCGTTGTTCGGAAATGCATTCACCGACAGACCAGGCAGACTTTCGCTGTAAAAATCGTCGACGTGGCCAAGTTCACCTCCAGTCCGGGCCTCAGTACAGCTGGTGAGTGTCTAAAGGATATATCCGTACACCACACACAGCCATTAATTTCCGCCGACTGTTGGAAACATACAGTTCCTTTTTCCCTTCTTTTTCTACACTCACCTCCTCCCACCCTATTCCCGACCCTTCTACCGGCTTTCCCTATGTACGTTATATACATATTTACGTAGGTACATACATAAATCTGCTTCTTTTTAAAGCTCGTTTTACCCCGATTGCTCGAACACACGCATTTTTTTCCCCATTTCTTCGACTTGTTTTTTTTATTCCGTAGCTTTATAGCTACGAAATCTTTAAAGCATTATGCGAATATACAAAACTGTCATTATTACAAATGATGATTATTTTAATTGTATTGGTAACTCTTTTTTGGTTCCTATTTTAACGTATACGTTCGATCGAATTAATTCTTTCATAGATCATTCCTATTGCAGATTTGAAACGTGAGGCCACGATATGTCACATGTTGAAGCACCCGCATATCGTCGAGCTACTGGAAACTTACAGTTCCGAGGGTATGCTCTACATGGTGTTCGAATAGTAAGTATATCTCCTTTGAACTAAAATAAACGTGTTGAGTGAGATAACCTGTCAGAGGAATCGGACATGAATCGTTTCATGAATAGAACTTTAAACTGGGGAGTAAACCTTCAAGTTTTTTCCTCGTTTCTTTGAAGTGAAAAAGACTTGCAAAATATATCAGACTAACATCATCATCATCATGATCATCATCATCATCATTATCATTGTTGTTGATGAAGTCAAAGGAGTGAGAGAAAGGAATAGAAGCTTTGCTCCATCGGATATGATGTATATCGTTGAACTGAAGTACTATGCAAATTTTTTAAAGGATTTCAAAGGAACAAAGTTTACGCGAAAGAGGAAAAACGAAAAGGATAGAGTCACGTAATAATTTCTTTCTCTCTCTCTCTCTCTCTCTCTCTCTTTCTTTTTATTTTTCGTTTTCTTTTTCTCATTCATTCTCGTACACTTTAGAAAAAACCTTTCCAGGAAAAATTCTGGCTTTTCAACCCCCTTATTCAGTACAGTCGTACATCTATATATCTCAAAGATACTTTCTACGACTTTCATACCCTTTTTTCTTTTTTTTTTTTTCTCTCGCGTTTAAACAGCACGGTTAAATTCTCTAAAATATCTAAAATAAATAGCATTCAGGTTGGAAGAATAAACGCGACGGGAGATTCACGAAGTAAATGGATCTTAAATTGGAATTTATTTCATGTACGAGAGAAAAAAAAAAGAAATTAGTGTTTTAGACGTGTTCCGTAAAACGTTCAGAATAAGATGTGATTATTTTTTTTTCTCTCTCTCTCTCTCTCTTAATTTATCTACAAGTTTAACGAACGGGAGAGAAGTTGTTTAACGATAAATTTACAAATGGTTTATACGAAACGAGTCGTATAAATTATTTATTTTATTTAACATTACAATTCTCTTTCAGTATGGACGGTTCGGATCTGTGCTTTGAAGTAGTTCGACGTGCGACTGCTGGCTTTGTCTACAGTGAAGCTGTTGCTAGGTAAGATCAAATTAATTTATATCAATTTTTGAAGTGACAACTTCTTTAGAATGAGTGTGATTAGAAAAAGTGTAACGGAGCGGTAGGCGGCTATGTAACGGAGCGGTGGGAGGCGATGAAACGACCGCGATACTGAATAAGAAGAGAATACAATTATCCTACACTAAATATTTTGTATTAGTCTTATTCTATCGAAACTTAGTTTTTGGAAGATTTCACTTTGAACACGTGTGATCTGTACACATGTTTTTATTATTTAAATATTCAAACATTTATTATTAAACGACCGAGATAAGCATAAACTATATGGCAACATTTTTTTCGTTTCAATAATTTTTTTTTTCCTTTCATAAAAGACAATGTTTTTTTTTTTTTTTTACCAAGTACTTACCCTTTTTCTCTTTTTGTACTTTTTGTATTATTTTCTTTATTATGAAAATTCCTACGCTCGAGTCGTTTTACTTTCATGAACGGGAAATGCACTGCAATCAAGGTTGCTACGGTTTAGTTAAGCTCTCGAACTTTGTACGATAGGCACATGTACCAACGCACCTGTATGTGTACACATACACATACGTATCTCCATACTTCTATAAACTGCATATATATATATTCTGGGATGTCCTCCGGAAGTTATTAAAAATCTACCATCCTCCACTGACGTTTAAAATCCTCTTTGGTGATTTCTCTCTCTCTCTCTCTTTCACTTTCTCTCTCTCCTTTTCTCTTTTCGTTTCGATTAAAATTCTATCCTTTTACCAGTTGAATATAATTGATGGTTTAAAGATTTGAATTTAGTTTGTCAGACGTATATAAAAGTCCCTTTTAAGCGTTTTTAAGCACACGCGTTCCAATCTCATTCGTCATTTTGATCGTATGGTCTTTGTACTTTTCATTAAATGGTAATGGGGATGGGAGGGGGGGGGAGAGAGAGGAGGGGAAGGGAACTTTATTTGTTATCTTTTTGTTACTTTTTAAAATTTCAAAATTTACTTTCGTTTCGATAAATTCATCCTTTCATCTTATGTTGGGCCGACATTCAACCAACGCCGGTTTCGTTCCCATTCGAGAAAATCCTGACTACCGGTTAGATTGTAATCTCAAGGGTCCCCATTAAAACTCCTCTAACTACTGTACGACTAATGTTGAATGAGTACGATACAACCGACAACTCTGGTGTCGCATTAAAGTACGAAGTTACGGTTCATATTTCATCTGGACAGGGCCGATTACACGAGACTTCGCTTCAGGCGAATTGTTTATCGAGAATACTCTGACAGATATGGAATAAAAGAAATCGTTTGACTTGACATTTTGTTTTCTTATCCTTTAAATCATCTAATAAGATAAGCTTATCTCTATACTACCAAGTTTTATATCTTGAATTTCTTTCTTTTTTTTTTTTCTTTTTGTTATCTACTTTAAAGGTATTTACGAGCTGTGTATATAAATACAATTGATAATCTAGTTTTATATTCGCTGTTATATTTACAATGTTTAATGTACAAATAAATAATAGGAATAAATTTATTTTTTTAGATTAGTAAATATTAGGGTGAATTAGAAATTCGTGGAGTTTTATAATTAATATTTTATTTGCATTTCAAATAATTTGATTGATTTTGAATAATTCTACTAAATAGTACATTTACTAAACAACACAATATACAATATGCAATAGTACAATTTTTAGAATAATAAAACAACACAATATACAATATGCAATAGTACAATTTTTAGAATACTAAAACAACACAATATACAATATGCAATAGTACAATTTTTACAGTACTAAAACAATGCAAAATAAACGCACGAATTTTTGATGTCAACCCTAATAAATAAAAACATTTATAGATCAAACTTTTATGATACATAAGGATAAACAAAAAATTTCCTTAATTGGAATTAGAAAGAAGAATAGAATTTTATTTAGAAGAATAATTTCAATAGCGTGAAATCGTTGATAGAATAAAAAAGGGGGTGGGTGAGGATGAGGGAGTTAGCAGGGTCGAAAGCAAGTGGGTTAAAGAGCTCATACTAACTCGGTGCGATGCGTTTCAACGGTTGAAAAGTATACAGTAATATTGTATATATATATATATATATATATATATATATTCCCGGGGTGCACATTTTCACAAAGGAAGAAGGAAACTACTAAAGCCAAGGCATCATCATCATCATCCTCTCTAGCCTTCTTCTATTTTGCAGCCACTACATGAGACAAATCCTGGAGGCATTGCGCTACTGCCACGAGAACGACATAATCCATCGTGATTTGAAGCCGCAATGCGCCCTACTAGCAGGAAAAGAAAATTCTGCGCCGGTGAAGCTGCGCGGTTTTGGTGTCGCTGTTCAACTTCCTGCATCCTCGCAAGCAAACGGTGTCGGTATGTTCAATCCTTTTCTCTTACGATTCTAACGTGTTTGCACAACACATGTTCTTTTACCTAATGTACTCTCTGTCTTATTCTCTCTCTCTCTCTCTCTCTTTCTCTTTCTATCTTTCCAACCTTCCTTAGGGAGAAAATTACACGACGTTGGCTCTCTCTCTCTCTCTTTCTTTTTCTTTCTTATTTCTTTCCCTTCACTCTTTACACCATTCTACTATCCTCCCTTTCTTTTTCATACCCATGTCATTCACTTCCATTCTTCCTTGATGTATGTACATACACATGTACATACATATACAATCTACATGCATATTTATGTAACCCACACCCCACTGATGGTTGCTAGTGGGTGTATTGACTCCTCTCCTGCTACTCGAGTTCCATTCGTTCTCAAGAATGGAAAGGTAGAAGAAGAAGAATGTATTGGTCATACCTATATATCGAGCAAGCGTATCCCTTCGTCCTATTTTTCCTGAAAACACCCTAGAAGATTTCGTTCTACCTTCGACGAAAGCCCCCAAGGATCAACCAACGAAGAAACTTTATTATCCATAAGAAAACACTTGGCGCGGACATTCTATTCAAACTGGGGGGTGGGTGGGAATGGGGGAGGGGTGAAAATACACTTTGGTTAAAGGACAATCTTTATCTATCGGATTTGTTATTATAGGGATTTTTTTTCGATCACGTTATACGACACCGAGATGAAGAAAAAAAAATGACACAAGGTGATTCGTTGAAGTGAAATGATTATCGTAACCACCCACCCCCCTCCCCCTATCTACCTACTTACCATTCACTATATTAAACCTTGCCAACGTCGTGTTATTACTAACCAATATCATTCCTAAAAAATACTATTGGATTGACAATTAAGTAATTGCTGATTTTTTAAACAAAATGATTGATCAAATTTACAATTACTTAACCCCTTAAACAGCAATGATTTTGAAAGAAAAAAAAACGGCCCAAAAAAATCATTTCTTTTTTTTTCATAAAAGGATAGTTTAGAACATTGTTTTGATAAAAAAAAAATACAGAAATAATCAATAATTTTATGTTAATTTTGGATTTTGTGTTTCACATTACAGAGAAGTGCCGAATATTGCAATGTTACACGTACGTCGACTTTTTAATCTTTCTTTTCGAATTATACCATTTCGGAATAAAAAACAAAACCGATTCTTTTTCTTTGCTTTCACATTCTTATTTTCAATTTTCTATTATATTTGAGTGTAAAAAAAAGAATCATAGAAATATAAAAAAAAAAAAAAAAATAATACGCCGTTCGAGTTAACTCGAGCGTGCAAAAATCGGCCGGTTTAGGGAGCTCGAGTTAACTCGAGCGTGTTGCTGATTGGGTTAATTGTCAATCCAATATTATATTACTAATAATATTAATCGTATTATTATTATTTTTTTTGATAATATTCTAGTCGGATCAACCAAACTACTTCTCGAACGTAGTATATCGTAATAAAAAAAAAAAAAAAAGGAAAAAAATAATACGATTTTTTTTTTTTATCCGAAAGGCAATAATATTCAATACCAATTTCGTACGATGAAAAAAAAAAATGATTATCGAATATTATCGAGTTCCGCATTGATATTAATTATTTTTCAAGTATCATCATCAACTTATATCGCTTCCGCGCGATAATTTTATCGAAAATAATTGATTTGCTTTTTTCCAATCTTGTGAGAAGAAGGACGTACACATACACATACACGCACACACATTGAATACTGCACTCGTGATAATTTGATAGATATATTAAAATTGAAGAAAAAAAGGGAAATGATTATTCATTCGAATTTTTTCTTTTTTTTTTATTTTGTTTATTTTTATTCTTTATCACCTAAGATAAAATTGTGTAACTCAGTCGGTAAGATGATTCCGTCGTTACAAGTCAATAGAATTTATTATTTATGATAAGGACTTTAACGAATATCGTTTGTTGAACAAGTCCGACCTCCTTTCCACGATCCCGGGACTGCATTATAAAGAAAACTTTTGAAAAATTCAGCAGAAAGAAGAAAATGAAGTAAAAAAGGCTGGGGTGAAATAAAGTTGTGAAAATATGTCGTTTTATTTTTTTTTTTTTTTTTTTTATAAAAAGGTTCAGTTCAATCAACAAAATTGATGAATTAACAAGTATTCGTGTAACAAGTTTCATTTTGTTTCGTTAATGTTTTTCCTTTTGCTTTTATTCGAGCGTGTATTGGTTGGCTGATGTCCCACCACTATTATCGTGGCTAATGAAACTTCCTGTAGTATGCATAGAATGTGATCAAAGGGTGGCAGTATCGTCGCCAACAAATGACGTTACAATTTCTGCATCGAGTTATCATGTATGTTACATAATTGCAGTGTAATTAACGCGACGGCCTGTACCGGTCATAATCGGAACAATCGAGCATGAAGAAGCGCGTTCGCGCGACACCGTATATATACATATATACATATACGGTGTTCTCTCTTTGGAAGATGGTATTCAATGTGTGCCTTTGTAGAACCTCTAATGCAATATTTTTGAACATCGATTCGTTCTATTTCCGACAATGTGATCCGATCAAAGATATTGCGCGCGAATACACGATTTTATGTGTATGCGTGTGCGTGAATGTGTGTAAATGTGCGTGCGTGTATGTGTGTGTACCTCTTTTGGTTTCTTTCTATTTTTTTTTTTGGTCTTTTTTTTCTCTCTCTCTTTCTCTCTCTCTCTCTCTCTCTCTTTCAATGGTCTCTACTTTTCTTTCTCTCTATCTCTTTCTCTTTCTCTCTTTGTGGGAATGCCCTGTTCTGCGATAGAACCCATTGGCTGGCTGGCTGGCTTGATCGATGATTGGCAGTCGTCACATTCAAAATCTCTGAGTGTTCGGTGTGCAGAATGCAACAACGGCTTTTATCGGTTATATATATATATATTTTTTAAAAATATTTTTTTGTTTAAAAAAGACACTAAGTTTTTTTCTGCTTCTTAATATTCAGCTCTCAATTGGTATTTTTCTATTAAAAATTGTCTTTCTTTTTTTTTGTCTACACCGTTTCGATATCGCGTGCTTTTCAACAACTTCAAACAAACCGAACTATCCTAAGCAAGAGCAATGGAAATGAAAATAGCAGAAAGATTAAATCTATTGTACGATAAATATCACATAGATTAAAAAAAAAAAAAAAAAATCTCTTACATTTATGTATAAAAAGCCATAAACGCGACGTTGAAGCGGTGAAATACATAGAACAATATGTATGTATATGCAATATCATTATTTCGATTACTTCTTAAGGAATTTTAATGGGTTTTCAACGCGAAATAAGTAAGGTACATATATATATATGTATGTACCATTTACACGTTTACCGTTGTATTGCCGTTAAGAGCTGTTGAAAGAGTGCACCTTTTAATATGTCGGTCAATCCACTTTGATCGGCACTCCTTCTACCGCGAATTGCTTGCCAGCTTTCGGAACATTTGAAAAAATAATAATAATAAAATAAATAATATCTATCTTTATTATATTATCGTTGTAAATAAATTAATTTTAATATGTTTCTTTACCATGATATGATATAATATTATATATAATTAAAATGATTAATTACATTAACGTAAATCCTTAATTCGATATCATTTTCCAGCCAAAATCGCAGTACGATTAACACACGCGTGATTTATTTATTTATATTCAATTTTTTTGTTTAAATTAATTTAATGAAATATTATGAGGGCATTTCATTATTATTATTATTATTATTATAGTAGACAGTTAATTTTTTTTTTTTTTTTTTTTTGGTAAGATATAGAGAGAAAACTTTCCCCAATACTTTTATTGTACGAAACATTTAGGCCGACAATATAAGGAAGTTAAATCCCTTTCAAATACAGACCGTTTCCATCATCCACAATCTTCACTAGTTCCGAACTAATTTGACAGTATAAGAGAGTAGGACAGGCACCAATGGGAGAACTAGGGGTTTTCATGAACTAGGACACTTAGGACTTCACCACGCGCCCTTTTCGAAAGTAAATCTTTAATAAGCGAACTTAGTCGGGGCCGAGTTGTTTGAAGTAGATATTCTTTATCATCGCTAGAGATCAACTTCCTTACGATTTCTTTCTCCTTACTGTTGAGAGTTTCAATATCCATACAAATAATATGAAAGTTTAAAAAAAAAAAAAAAAGGAAAAAGAATTCTTAAAATGAAAGTTTGACTTGAACAAAACTTTGACTACGTTTATCTTAAAAAAATGATAACGCGTTACTTCGAAACGTACACCTTGGGCATACAAAAAAAAAAAACAAACAAACATAGTTCATTATAATAGTTTAACATACGATACAAGGAATGAATAAAGGTTTTTGTTACGAGTTTAATTTGATAACCTGAAATTTGGTTTGAATGAATACAGAATGTTACACGACCGAGTATCGGCAGTGTCTGAGCCCAAAGGGGCAGCTCTACTTGAAGGCCGACAGCGAGGGTAAGCTTGACCTTTAATCATCACTTCCGCTGGAGCCTTGTATCATCACGCCATATATATATATTACACATACTTATTACGTCAACCCAGATTGTATTATGCTACATTTTAAACCCGATCCGTGTTTCCCTATCACATTACTGTATTCTAGAAGCCGCCACTGCTTGCTTGCTTGCTTTTCACGTACGAACGTACGATATATCGGTCATGTTGAGACTCATTTTTTCCGGTATAGGGTGTCTCTCTAAACCTGTGCTTTAAATATGCCAACGAAGTTCATAAGTTCAACAAAAAAATAAAAAAGTAACAACAACAAAAAGTAACTTTGTTTAAATATTTGTAACATCTTACATTTTAATCTCTCTAAAGTTTTATTTTATGTCATATTGTGTTTAATTTATTCTTTTCTTTAAATTTATTTCATAATTTATTCTTTGATGTATACAAAATTTGAGAAAAAAAAATATACGCAATTATGTTTTTTATATATTATAAATATTAATTTTTTCTTTTTTTTTTTAGAAAATTAAACGAACGAAAGTAGTTGTTCAATTGTTTATATTTTTCTTATTTATTTGAAATCATATTCACCGTGTGTGTGCTAATTAATTATTTTAATTATTTAATAATTTACTTTGATGCATACAAAATTTGAAAAAAATATGCAAGTATTTTTTATAAATATTTTAAATATAAATTTTTTCTTTTTTTTAGAAAATTAAACGAACGAAAGTAGTTGTTCCATTGCTTATATTCTTCTTATTTCATTTTATTCATATCTTCTTCTTTAAACATGATTCAACACTTGAGTCTCAGCCAACTCTTTGTGTACATTACACAATTCCAACGTATATTTCGTTACTTTAAATTATTCATTACATTATTGTTGCAGTTTGAATTTCATCGTGAAACGAAGAGAGAAGATAAAATAAACCAAAAAGAAAAAAAAAAGAAGAGAAAAAAACTTTGAACTCTCTTTCGAGTTATCTTTGAAGTTGAACTTTTTTTTTTTTTTTTCATTTTTTATTTACATACAACACTCGCAAAACTCATTGGCATTCTTTAAAGCACGCATCTGAGAATATCCTATACATAATATTATTTTCCCCATTACATTTTTGAACATATCAAATACATTTTTAATTACAACAACAACAACAACAACAACATCGTACAATCGTTTGAGACACATTTAAACACGTTCAAACTCATTCACCCATACTATTGATCTATATTTACTATCAATGTTGATTAACGTCTCGATGTAATTCATGTCAGTTATGATTATATCATCGATGTGTCACCCTCCATTATAAATAAAACACATCAGACGTGAGGCTATATCAAAAAAACGCATTTCATAGGCCCACATTTCACTCTCACATATTATATAATTCACACATTATGTCATATATGTCATATATATATATATATA